TCAAATGAAGAAAAGACTTGAAGCCACAGTGATGCGGTTCTAATGTCAAATGTTGAGAAGACAATAGACTGAAGTTATGAAAATAGAGATGTCATCCAAGAACATGAAACTTAAACTTTCATATTTTACATTACATTTTAATCACTCAAATACTTTATCAATTTCTGTTAGCCACTGTGTGTGCGTGTGTGTGCTTGTGTATACACATGTGCCCCACTCTCCAGAGCTTTTCAACCATTATGCAGATCTTAGATTCTCATCTGTAATATCTAAAAGATTCTCCACCTCCTCTCTAAGTTGGTTGTTTATATCTAAGTCATGCAGATTATTTTCATGTTTACAAACTGGGTGCAGATGTGAGGTGACATGAGATTGCATTCAGCAGCCAGGAGGTAATCATAGGTCCACCCTGCAATTGACTCCATTGAATGTCCGGTGTGATACTAAGTGCAATTTTTATTCTATTTTGACATGACGCTGCCCTTATGACAAATGAAGGACATCTGAGTAGAATAAGAACTATAATGAAACAACTGCTGACAGTCAGAAAAAAACAGCCAAAAGTTTAGAGACATAATGGACAAGGCTTGAAGAATTTAGCATCTACAGAGCACATCAAAGGCAGGAGAAACAAAGGAAATTAGTGAATAATCTACCTGGTATATTAATGCAATAGAGGACAAATTATCACAACAAGAAATAGGGGTCATAAGGAAGAAAATATTGTTGAGAGCAAGAGAAGAGAGGAAGCTGTGGAAGGTCATGATCATCTCTGTCCTAATGGGTGACTTTGAGAATATTGACAATACACATAGAAAGCAAGAGAATCAGAGCAACAAGTAACCCACTTGACAGGTTAGCACAAATGGATAGATGGAAAAGTACCATAAAGAGAAAGAGGAGTCATAAAGGGAAAAGGATTGCTGAGAGCAACAAGCGACAGGAAGCTGTGGTGAGCCATGATCGCATATATCATGAAGGAATACAGCATGTAGAAAAATATAAAAGAAAGAATGATAGAAATGCAGTGGATAAAGCGTTGGTTGGATCCAGTGTCTTGACCCAAAGAGTTGTGAGTTCAATACCTGGCTATTGCAATGAGGGAAAAAACTTGGAGTTAAAGGGAGATAAGCGAGACATTCAGAAGAAGCATGGCACGTTGAACTAGAATAATCTACCCTGTTGGATGAAATAAAGGGTTCAGTTCGAAATTCCAATCACCTGAAGAAGGACAGAGCATACAATGGCTGAAATGTTTTGAATATAGCAATAAAGATGAGGAAAACAGTTTGAACAATGTAAATAAGAATGATAAAATTTAGATAAAAGGTGTAATTTTTAAAAAAATTAAAAGGCTGAGTAATCAAAGTCAGGATTTTTAATAGGTGATATAAAGTGAGATTTGGCAAAAAATTAAGATTTTTTTAAAAATTGATAACCTATGCAATGGAAATGATAACCACAAGAGAAATGAATGCTGTTCAAAACTTCTTATGAAATTAATTCAATTGGCTCAGGTTTGGTAATTCAACTAAACTTCCCAGAGCTGACCCCAACCCCAAAACAAAAGAAAAGAAAAAAAATAAATAGCTGATGAAAGTTAATGAAAATCCTGTGTATATAAGAAAAAAAAACCTGAAATAATTGATTGAGAAAAGGTTTAATTTATTCATTTAATATTCCCCAGAGAGATTTTCCCAGCTTAATTGAACACTGCTGAATTTGGCTTGTTTGATGCTCACATCTTACAGTCAGACAATGGCTCATCTATTTTTCCATTGTTTGCTTGCATAATACATCGGATTGTGAGCTGTACCAATTAGCTGAGAAGTATTGTTTATTCAAACAATAACAAATATGGGCACATGGCAGAATGGTTAGAATATTCGTGCTCCAACCATGAAACCTGGGTTCGAATCTCACCATAGTTTGTCAAGAACATCACTTCTTGATGTTATTGACCCATAGAGGCATCTCTTGAAAATCCCACCACAGGTTGACTGAAGCCTTGTGAGTAAAATTAGGTAGGTGGAACTGTTTGGAGCCTGTCGATGGTTGTGCTAACAACAAGTCATTATGACCGAGAATTTAAGTGTACTGGTCTTGTTCAAACTGCTGATTATGCCAATGTTGTTCTCTCTCCCAGAAACTGTAACTAAGGTCAGCTCAGCATAGTTACAGTATAAATCACAGACTGGCTCTGTGGGTGCTAAACAAAGATGAATGTGCCTGAGCAGGTATCTGGAACAGGGATTTGCAAATCGCCCTAGCAGATGGGAGTGCTCAGAAACAAGTAACTAGTCATTATGTATGTACATATATATGTATGTATGTATGTATATATGCATGTATACACACAGCAGAGTGTTCTAGTTCCATTACCCATGTCTATGGATATCTTGTCTAGTTCTTATTTGTAGTACTGTTCAGTTATTACTCACCCTGCTTCCACTGACTTCAAGTACATACAGCCCATCCCAGGTACTCGGATTCAGTTGAAATGGAGAGGCAATAACTGAGCACTAACATAAGAACTAGACAAGAGATCCCTAGACATGGATCTTTCATATAGATTAAATAAAAAGTTCAGTTTGAAATTCCCTGTGGGTTGCCAAGATCAACATACACCTGATGAAGGCCAGAGGGCACAACAACTGAAATACCGTGATGACAACAACATAGATGAGGAGTATTTTTGTGGGGCTATATGAATAAACCAACATCAATATATCAGAGATATGGTGATTGTTTAGGTAAAATATTTTGTAAGGGACCAGTTGCTAGAAATTTCAAGAAAATCATTACTAAGAGGTGGTACCACCATTAATTTAAATTTTTATGTATGAAAGTCATTGTTTAAAGAATAATAAAATTGATTTCTAATGTTTGCAAATCTTTATAATTTTATCTAGCAGTAGGGAGAGATTAGTTTTTGATTGCTGTAGATGTTCTTTAGGAGATTCAAGTTTGTTTGTTTTTTTTAACAGGTATGTGCAGTGAACAACTACAGAGCGCAAAGAGGTCCAGGGTTGCATGCATTTTTTGCTACAGTCAATGTAACACTAAAGAAAATGGCTTACTTCCAGGAGGAAAATACATTTGGACGTGTCTCATGTAAACTATCCCAAAACGAAAAATATAAACTACCCCAAAAAGAAAAATGGCAGCTTTGCGGGTCATACATTTACAATAGATAGATCTCAGAGTCGGATAAACGCAAGCTCATGAAAGTCTCTTTTTATGTATGTAAATTTTGATTGTCAATGAAGATATAAAAAGTGCATAATGGCACTATAGGGAGAATGGTAACTGCTATAGTGAAGAAGAGACATGTGTTGTAGTCAGTGGATTATTTGACTTAAGGAAATTGATTGCAGAAATTGATTTCAAGCCAGAAGTAACTACAAATATACAAACTTTGATATCTAAACCAGCCATGAGATTATCTGCCATATTTATGCATTTTAGTTTTTGAACCAGGTTGTCAGAATTTATATGTGAAGGGGTAATTGTCCTGAGAAGTGGGGTTAAAATTATTGTTTTGCTTGTCTATGGTGAGTACTACCAATTCCAGTTCTGATTGGTCACAATGGAATGACTGCTTTATAAGGTTTTGAAAGACCATAAAGTCTGAGAATTTTAGATGGTATTCAATCAATTTTGACCATGTCTTGTCCTCATTAATTAACTTTCTAATAAAAATGATCTCATAAACTTCTTTGTGTAATGAAAACAGACAGATTAGAGAAAAGATCCTCAAAGTCCTAAGCTATCATTATCAAATGAGAATCAATGAAGAGTCACTTCTTTGCTTTGTGTGATGCACACTCTTGGTTTAATAGCTCATCACTGAGACCGAATACAGATCTAATGATTTTGTATTCAGTAGTGAATTTTATATTAATATTATAGTAAACAGTGCTTAAAATTTATTTGCTTGAATATTCTTTTAGTAGTAATGTTTAACTAGTATTTTCACAAAACTAAGCTGAACTCTTATACATATAATATCAGTCCTGCTCTATAGAAGTCAATACTGGACCAATCTCCTTAGAGATGAAAAAAACTGGTTCTACAGAAGGATATTGAAAATACCATGGAGAGAGTACATAAGTAACAAAGAAGTCTAAAGGAGAATAGAAACAAAAAGGATACTTATATTTAAAATCAGAAAGAGACATCTGAAATTTCTGTGACACATAATGAGGAGAGATGGCATGGCAAATTTTGACATATTGAAGGCCAGAGAGTCAAAGGACAACAGTGACTAATCTACCTGACGAGGCAGAACAGGGAATTAGGTGGATGGTGAAAAGACAAACATTATGAGGAGTTTACAAAGTATATGATGTTGTGGAGAGCCATTATCATCCATGACCTGAAGAGATATGGTACAAAGAAGAAGTTGAAACATTTAAGAAAATGTTAAGAGCAATCATATGGGTTAACTTCTGATAAAATTTATAAATATGTAAGTTTTTTTAAAAAACAAAATATCTTTTTTTTTTTCACAGTTAAATTCATTAGAAACACAGTGTTTGAATCCTGGTAGGCCTGCCAAGGGCAAAAGTGATCCAGAGATCTGGAAACACATCAGAATAGCAAAAGAGGCCTTCCAGAAATCAAGATTAACACATAGGAAATTTTTGTTAGAAACAAAGAAAAGAGTGCTGAATTGCCATGTCCTATCTATATTCCTTTATGGTAGTGAATTCTGGACACAAATCAACAGAAATGTAGTTCCACAGATGGAATATACCATGGACAGATCATGGGAGCATTGTTTGATTGATTCATTTTTGGAGGAGAGGGAGATAATAATGATTTAGTGATACAAGCCTTACTAATGAATGCATAGCTGCAGATAGAAAAGTAGGGGGATTCATACTTTTCCCAAGGGTATTTGTGTATAAGTGAATATAACGGACACATCGGGGAATTGGAACTTGGCTCCCCAATTAACAATTCCAAAATTCCATTACACCACCTGCATATCCAAGCTTACAGCACCTGTTATTCCCAAGTGGTCACACATCTAAATAGTAACCAGGTTTGACATTGCTTAACTTTGTTGATCATATGAGAACCAGTGTTTCAACGTGGTATGTCTGTAAGCCTATGTGGAACTTCTAAAGAAAATGAGAACTAGAAGGAGATGTATACTTAAAATCAGATAGGCACTGATGAAATTTTAAGGGATGCATTATGAGGAAAGAAGGTTTGGAAAATGTAATACTCATAGGACTACTGAAGGAAGTAAGAGTAGATGGAAACAGAAATTAATCTACTCAATAAGTTTAGGTGAATGAATGGCAGGGTGGGGATGCTATAGAATTAAAGATTGTTTAGAGCTACAAGAGATAGGAAGTTGTGGAGAGCTGTGAGCATCTATGTCCTGAAGGGATACAGCAAATTAAGCCCTGATCTATAGGAAATTCATTTAAAAAAAATAACCAACCCAATTAATAAACATAATTTATTAAAGTAGAAGAGACTGCAGTGAGCTACTGATGAAAACAACTTTATCGGAAGACAGAGGAAGTATAGATTTGTCCATTCTATAAATGTACTTTTTCCTGACACAATATATTTATTCAATAAATAATTATAAAGCTGTAATATATAGAAAAATAAATTTCTTTCCAAAAATTCTGAAGGGTCTGGATACAAATTTGTCAAAACAAAAAAGCTGCAAAGTCTGTGGGCAATATTTGGATGCATTTTCAAAACAAAATAGATTAGTTAATTTTCAATAGATTGAATAATTTTTTTAATACTAAAATTCCCTCATCTCAAGGTAGAGAGTTACTGTTAAAATAGTAAGGATATAAAATGAGGTGTGTAATATTAATGAAAGCGGTGGTTGTAGGAAGTTCAGATTATGAAGATAAGGAGGATAGATAATGACTGACTCTAAACTTGAAGTGGTTAATATTGTATTAATCAGAGGTACATCCATGCAGAAAGTATTTTATGTGTGATGATGTGTCCCTTGAAATAAAGTCCAGAAATAGGTGGCCATCAGTTGTTGATTATGAGATTTTAAAACACAAAAATATAATAAGGAAAGGGGGCTTGGAAAATTTGACTCTCACAGGACATATTGAAGGCAAGAGGGACAAATGAAAACAGCATGTAACCTGTTTAATGAACTTGTGTAAATGGATGGCCAAACAGGGATTAGGAAGGATAGTAAAAAGACAAACTTTACTAAGGACTACAAAGGACAGGAAGTTGTGGAGAGCCATGATAGCCCATAAACTGAAGGGACGTGGTACATAGAAAGAGAAACCTTTCATTATTCAGTTGTGAGTCAGAATTTGTTGAATGTTCACATTTTGTCCGCAAATGAATGCCTTAAAGATGGAGGATGAAAAGTTACACTTTTGCCATACTATGCTCTATGAATTTTGGAAAGGAGTAAGTGTTGAAACTGCAACAAAAAACATTCAGAAAGTTTATTTGAATTGTTCTCCAGCTCTTTGGATGATCAGAAAATGGTTTTTCAGATTTTGTCCGGGGTATTTTAACCTAAAAGATAACCATGCTCCAGACAAACTTCTAATGTCGATGACACAACACATAGGAAGAGAAGAAGTAATAATGAAACACATTGATTGGTGACTTCTTTCTTCTCTTCACTACTGTAGATCATAATTATACAGTGAATATTTCAGATCAAAATTCAACTAACTATGAATCAGGGTATGAATGTATTGATCCATTCATGTAAATCATACAATAATGACATTCATTCATTTTAAAAGTCTGAGGGAAGAAAATAATTATAAAACATATCTAACCCCCTAAGTCATAATTCCAATCATTTTTATAAACCAATTTTTTTTTTTAATGATGAACTACAAGTGTATCATTATTTCAATTGGAGATATTTTGAATGAAAATATTGACTGTTTTTTTTTCTAAGTAATGTTTATTTAAAAAAAACAAAAAACAAAAAAACAAACCTTTTTTCATATGAGAGAAAGCGGGAATTTTCTTCATTTACACATTCTACTTCTTTCTTCAGCCTGGCAATCTCTGCAGTCAATTCATTGTTTTTAGCTCTGAATAAGACAACAAAACACAAAAGAAGAAGATTATGAGAATTGAAATGATGTTATAACAAATTTATTTTCATGCATAAAACAGAACTGAAGAATTGATATAGGATGAATGATAAAAATGTTTAGAGAATCAATGGTAAAAAAAAAAATTTTTTTTGTGTATTTGATTTTTTTTATGAATATTAAAAAAATGTATATTTCAATAGGCTGAAGAGATTAAAATTAAAACAAGAAATTTGTGACCTTATAAAAAGGTTTGTATTAATGAAGATTAAGCTTTAAGCAAACAATGATTTTAAAATGAAATTTAAATAATTATGGCATTCAAAAATATGGCTTGACATTTTTTCAGTAATTTTCAAAATAATAGAAAATAGAAAATGATGTTTCTGGAAAAGAAAAATTGTTTTTGTAGATATATTGAGAAGAAAGTCGATAGACATGTTCTCTAGTGCTTACATATGTCCTCATTCAAGTTTCCATATCAAATTGTGCACAATTATATGGAGATGTTAAAGTTCACTTTTTACAATTTCTTTAATTAATATTATGAACATCAAACAGAATTAAAACAATGTTAACTATAAATAAGAAAAATTTATTATAATTAAATAAGGGAAATTTACTTGATCTGCGACCAGAAATAATCATGTTTTTCATTTTGTTTTTCTTATTACTATAGATTAAGCATTCAGGATCATAAATATATATTAATAAAAATTTTATTACATTATATAAATGTTAATAGTGGGTTTACTTTGTGAGGAAAATTAATTGAAAAATCAATCTTCCTATGGACCTTTCTATATTCCTTATGTGGAATACTTCATCTATCTTCTATTGTGTCACCTCAGGATGTGGGTAATCATGTTTTTACACAATTTATTGTCCTTATTTTTTTTTTGCTATCTCTCCTAATTCCCGTTTTGCCAAAAATTTGCACAAATTTGTTAGGTAGGTTACTGTCACTTTTCTCTGTTCCTCTTGCTTTCAATATGTCCTTCAGCATCAAATTTATATGCTCAAGAAATTTCAACAGTCCCTTTCTGATGTTATGTATAAGTATCTTTTTTGTTTCCATTTTATCTAAAACTTTGGTGTTGCTCATATATTCATTTGATGGTAGTCTCAGCATCCTTCTGTAGAACCACATTTCTCTTGCCTCAGGTCTCTTTTTCATCAGTGAAGAGATTGTCCAGCATTCACTGGCATATAGGAGGACTGATATTACATAGCAGCTTAGTACTCTTTTCTTTGTGTCTAATGAAATTTTCCTGTTTCTTCATACTTTGCTTACACTTGGAAGGTAACTTTCACTATCCAAATGCTCCTTTAAATTTTGATGTTGCATTTTCTGACCTCTGTTAAAACACTTATGAAATATCTATATTTTTTGCACTTGCTTGATTTTAGTATCTCCAATTCATTATTCATATTTTTAGCTGTTCCTTTTGCTGACAACCATACATTCTGTCTTCTTACAATCAATGTTTAGTCCTTTCTTCTTGCTTTCCTTTACTATCTTCTGTATTTACCTTAAAAAAAACATTATTTCTGGTTGCAGTACATCTTATATACAACTCTACTGGAAATTCAAAAAACAGAATACAAGAAACAAATAAAAAAAAAATAGGTGTGATACAAAATATCTTATTTATGACAATTCCATAATCTTAGTGGATAAAGAGCCAAAATAATGTAGGTAAATGTTGAATCTTTTCCTGAATCTGAAGATGTTATTCATGTGAAACTGAGTTTCATAATACTCACCTGATCACACCAAGGTAGTATGTCTTATCTTGAACTTGTCTCTGTGGACCTGTTAAAAACAGAGTTTAAAAGTAAGTTATTTGTAATGATATTGGTTGTCCTGGCAACAGTCAAGCTTTTCTTGGACAGTAGCCAAATATTTTTTTACGTAGGGAGATCAGTATTTAGAGAAATTCAAATTCGCTGCTTCAGACAAACCAGACATGATGTCAAGCAGAAGACTTCATAAGAAAAAAAATAAATAAAAGAAAGTAAATAACTGCGGTCATATTAAAAATGTATACTCTGCAAGAATAATACGATATAACGTTTCCTTTGGGCTGTGTTTTAAGTTTCCTTTAATAAAAGCATCACAGAATGTTTAAGCTTTGTCTTCAATATTTAAAACAACCCCAGAAAATGATCAGTAAACATTCCACTGTTAAGGAGGAAATTCCACTCAGACAGCTTCCTCCATTGAAGTGAAGAATACACTGCCCAATCACTACAATCTTAACCTCTTCAAGTCTGGAGTCAATCATTATCTATCCTACATATCCTTATAATATACACTTTTTACTTCCTTCCTGTATGCACTTACAACTTCATTCAGTAATCCTCTACCTTGAGTGACTCTTGGGCTTTGTACTGGGTGAACAATAATATAAAAAAAATGGAGAAGTTTGGATAGGTTCAAAGAAATTTATATATTAATAACAACATGTGACAAAAATACATTTATTTAAGGGGAGGTACTGAAATGACATCCAGTCCATTGTTTAAATAATGAAACTGTAATTTTATTGGTTTTGATATGTTGTATGCAGTATATATGCTAATCATTGTGTTGGTGTTATTTGTATCAGATAATCCTAATCAAGACAGGAAGAAGTTCTAATGGAAGACCTAACCACTGTGAAGAAGAAAAAGTCAAAATGGTATGTACAAGTCCTAAGAGCCAACAATCTTTCTACTGATATCCTACAAGATTCTACATTAGGCAGAAACAGACAGAGGAAAAAACGGACTGATAATGTCACTGAGTGGATTGGAAGATTTTTGACAGAGATTCAGACACTGGCACACAATTGAGATATATATGAAAGGAGCTGATCATATTGTGCAGATGTATAATGACTCTATGACCACACCCAGTCATCGGATTGATGATGATGATGAATACTTGAAAATTTTGCAATTCTGTTTTCTAATTCTTCCACACCCAGTAACCTCATGCATCTTAGTGGCTTTATTGCTTTGCTTGGGATGAACTCAATTAAAAAAAAAAAATATTTCTGAGAGAAAGTCATTACTCTGCCTAGGTGAGTGTGTGTGTGTGTGTGTGTGCTGTAATGTACAGTAAGACTGTGATGAGATTGCAGGGAAACACCTGACCGATTGCCCTCCCAGCAACTATGGGGGCAATAGTCAGAGAGGGGAATGAGACAGAAACTTTAGGTACAAAAATGACCATGGGACCAACTTACATGACACCATGTCTTGCTAACTGCTCAGATCTTGACCTGTTGCTGGGAGGCCTGTATCTAGACATGCCAAACTGTCCTGCTGCTAACAGGAAAAACCCAGAGTAAGTAGTGTTGGCAAACATGTCTGCATGCGATCCGAGGTCTCTATTTTTGTCTGTACTAACATGTATTTGTCACATTGTGTATGTTTGGAAGAGTGAGTTATTTATGTAATTCCTGCACATTTATTACTTCTTCTATGTCTTCATCCCTTCCAAATTTTCCTATCCATTGTGACCATTAACTTTTTTTCTTCTTTTGCTAAAGCCCCCACTGCCGTTTCTGTCATCCATTCACCCAAGGTTATCAAATAAGTGGCTCACTGCCTTCATCTATCACTCTTGTCCTCAATATGCCCTGCGATGGTTAAGTTTTCAAAGTCTTCCTTCTTCATTATCACTGAAGGAATTTCAGCTGTCTTTTCCTGATACTGGGTAGTTCTTTCTGTTGCCATTTTCTTTAAGACTTCCTTATTGCATACTTGCTCTGGCCATGGAATTCTCAGTATCTTTCTGTAGAACCATATTTCTGTTGCCACTCTTTTTCTCCTCATCTGTGGATATATTGTTGACTAGTTAACTTATTATGCCATGGTGAGGACTGTGAAGAGGGTAGATTCTAACAGTTTAACAGTTTTTCTTGGTTCTGCAAATATATTATTATATTGTAAATATTCACTGGGGATACTTACAAATGTTGTTAGCTCTCATCCCAACCCAAGCTCCCACAAACAAATTGTACATAGGGGACTAGTTAAAACCTCATAGAGAAACTGTGGCATTATAGTGTCAGCTGTATGACCGAGATGTATAAATGTCATGATTTGGTGATTGGAGCCTTGTTTGTGTGAATGGGTTAGTGATTGTCACAAGCTAGGTTAAAGGATAGAACACTGAAAACCAGTCCTCCCTTTTTGGTCTAGAGCTTAATTTTTTTAATATTTTACAAAGAATAAATATCGTCCTTAAATAAATATCATTGTATATTACTTTTCAGTGAAGAAATGATTATTTGATTGAGTGATTAATTTTCTACCTTTGCAGGTTATTTAAAGCCAAAATATATTTTTAGATTGTAAGAATGTTTTTTTTTTTTTAAGATAATAATGATTTAGTGATACAAGTTTTACTAATTAATCCATGGCTGGCAGGGAAGAAGAGGTGGATTCATAACTTTCCCAAGGTTATTTGCATGTAAGTGAATAAAGCAAACCCAACTGGAATTGGAACTTGACACTCCAATTAAAAATACCAAGCTATTATCCATTACACCACCTGCACATCCATGCTTACAGCACCTGCTACTCCCAAGCAGTCACACATTTAGGTAGTAACCAGGTTCAATGTTGCTTAACATGAGAACTGGTGCTTCAACATGATATGGCATTAGCAATGAAAGAATGAACATTTCTAGAAACTTAAACTTCTATTTTTCTGATTTATATTATTTACATGCAGACTATTGTCCTTATCTGTGTTGTTGTTATCACAACATTTCGGCTGTTGAGCCCTCCAGCCTTCATCAGATTTATACAACCTGCAGGGAATTTTGAACTGAACCTATTATTTAATACATGATGGTAGATTGTTCTTGTTCCACTTCACATACCTCAGGATATCTCATCTAGTTTTTACTTTAGTACTACTAAACAATAGAGCCAATAGTCTGCATGTAAATAATGAGAACTCCACATCCCAGAAATTCAGATAGAAATTTATCATTATATTATTATTATTATTACTATTGAATTAATTTATCATACCCTGATGAACAGAATGCATTTATATAATTATTGATCATACTGTCTGATCTCCTCTACTTGGTAATGAGATATTCCATTGTTATGGTAGCAAGACAAATTACATAACACTAGTAACTGAACATACTACATGTTAAAATAACAGAATATCTTTTGTATTATTTATCACTAGTTATTTTCACTTTTAATGATTTAAATAATGCAGAATTCTATCTAATATGTGGTGATATAGGTAAAAATCAAAACATATTCATATATATATAAACTTATTTATTAATTATTTCAATCTGACAAGCACTTGAAGGCTGGAGAGTACAATGGCCGAAAACGTGATAACAACAACAAAGACAAGGAAAATAGTCCACATGTAAATAATTATAACTTCTAATCTCAGAAATTCAGATATAAAATGTAGTTTTCTGTTTTACTATTGAACATGAGAAACGAACAATTTCCATTTCTATATATATAAAATTTATAAAATCATTATTAGTCTGACAAAGTCCTTTTGGGTGCCGAAACATAATTTTTTCCCTATCATTTTATCATTCAGTTCACCATTACTGTTCTGATATATAGAGTTGTATATTGTATCTTCCATAATTGGTTCTCTGAAACTGATGACAACTTATCAGTAGATCAATATCATTATCTGTTTTTGGTTATTGGTAATGACCAAAGAACTTTTTCCATAATTGACACTTATACTTTTAAAAGATGACTTTTATTGCATAATATCCAAATCCTGTTGTAGTTTTTTTTTTTTTATGAATTCACCCCAAGCAAGGCAATAATGCCCCTAAGACACAAGGAGTTACTGAAAGTGAAAGAGAAGGAAAAAACTTTAGAAGGAATTGGAAACCTAATAATAATAAAAAGTTCAGAATGTAGGTGGAGACATTAGAAGTATAGAATTGAAGTAGAATTTAGAAAGAACTGGAAACCCAGTCCTAAGTAGAAAACAAAGGATAAATGGGGAGGTGGGGGTGAAATGGACTCTATGTGAACCTATCTACTCCTATTGAGGAAAATAAAAATAAATAAATAGTAAAAATTTCAGAGTTTAGGTGGAAACATTCAAAGTATAAACCCATGAGAGTGTTTTGTTTTTATTTTGCTTTTTACTAATATTCACCCAATACAAGGCCCAAGAGCCACTTAAGGTAGAGGGTTACTCTGAGGAGCTATATTAGCATTGGAGTATAGATTTGAAGTAGAATTCAGAAGGAACTGAAAACCCAATCCTAAAGAAGAAATAAGAGGTAAACCTCTAACTCCTATTCAAAAGACTGGGGAGACTGGTAAGATGAATTTGCAAAACCATGTGACATGAAATTATGAAAAGTGTATCATGTTACTTTCCTTTGGTATTATTATGATTTCATTAATCTAGTTTGACGTCACAGAAATTAATAATCTATTTGTTTATACGGCAATAATTTCACCTGGTTTTTGTAAACAGCCACCAGTTGGGCTCTTCCTTTTTCTTTTTTTTTTTTTTTTTCTGTGTTCTGTTTTTGCTGGCACAGTTTCTCAGAATGATTCTTTTTAACTGCAACAAAGTCAGTGGTGCACTTCAAGCAGAAAGTGGGAGACACAACACAAACGAACCTAAGATTTCAGCATGTTGGCTGGGCAGATGCAGACCTCGAAGCAAATATGAAGGGCAGCATTAGTCGTAATGTAACAACTGCCAAAAAGAATGGGGAGCCAAAAAAGAAAAGTGAGGAGAAACGACAAACTGTTTCATTATGAAATCTCTCCATTAGATCCAGTACAAGGCTG